CCGTGTAAACTATTGCCGTCCGCATCGAGTAACGTGTGCTGTGCGGCGCCGCGCGTTTTTACAAGTAATTTTTAATAATTAATCAAAACACTGAGAGAATTTTCTCTTAGAATTTACCCTAAAAGTTATAGTAATTGTAAGAGAATATGGTATGGAAAGAATTTTATTAGAATTTCTCTGATTAATAATTATCACATTCAAAATAATAATATTTATCACAATAAAATATAAAATATATTTCATTAATTTTACTTTACGGTTTAGTAAAATTAATAAAACATGTTTCATATTTTATTGTGATAGATATTATTATTTTGAATGTGATAAATATTAATTAGAGGAATTCTAATAAAATTTTTTCCATACAATATTATCCTACGATTACCACAATTTTCAGGGCAAATTCTAAGAGAAAATTCTCTCAGATTGTGATTATGTGTTGTAATTTTTAATCAGTTATTTATTACAATAATTTTTAATCAAGTGCGTGAGTCAAAGTGTCAATAGAATTTATTACAAAAAAATGATTTCATTATGCAGTGTGTCACAGTGTGTCAATATCGGATTGTATCCAGTCAGGCAACAATTATTCGTCAAAGGACATCAAACATCTCTACAAGGTAAGAATCAGTGAGAGAGAGAGAAAGAGAGAGAGTGTGTGTGTGTGTGTATACGCGTACACACACACGCACACACACACACACACACACAAACGCCGCGTGTAACAAACAGCTGAACGCTTCGAGCGCCCACGTAATCGCCCGCGTCGGATAATGTGTTGCGCCGCTCCTGATTACCGCCCGTACTCGTGCTGTAATTCGCTATTTCTTTTTATATTTCAAAAACTAAGCTTCGGATAAAATTTTGGCAAAGGAAAAATCGTCTTAGAATTGAGTCAGGAATACGACATTTTAAGGACAAACGGTTGTTTTGAATCACCCTGTATATTACCTGATACCTCAAGTTACCAGATCTAGGGAAAATTTGGTAAACTGAACAATCTTGACTTTCTTCGCGTTTTAACATATATTAAATTGATAAACGTTAATAACTTGAACTATTTGATGGAATTATTAAATTATATAAATGAAAGCGATAATTAAACATAGTGCATTGATCTAAAAACTGACTATTACATCGTTACACTTTAATTATGATATATGGAATGTTGCCAAAGTTATCAAATAATCACAAACTGCGGCATAGATGTGCAACTTGATGTGTCTTTTATATTTCAACCCAGGTTACTAGATCCTGGGAAAATTTGGTGAATTGGACAATCTTTAGTTTTTCCTTATTTTTAAAGTAATTAATTGGTCTTAATTGGCAAAGCTTTCATCTGTGTCTGAAAATAATATTTTGTGTTAAAATTGTTTGTGTTATTTTAATTGATCTTTTGTATATTCTATTTTAAAAATCTAAAAAATTTTGATTAATTATCTATTTTTTAAATAAATATTTATTTACTTATTTGTGTGTGTTATATATAATTACAAATTTATGCAACTTGCTGAATTTTAATCATAATGCTCTTAGATTTATTATTACATAGTACAAAATCATACACAGTATATATATATGCATGTATTATAAATAACACACTTTCTCGAAGAGTTTGCGGAATGATTAATAAAATAAAAATCTCAGCGCATTACGTTTACTATTATTTTTAGTTTAATGATATTTTTATTAAATTATTTTTTAGTTGGTCTTTTTGCAAGGCTTGATCACTAGTAGACGATATATGGGATAATCTTGAGACAAAACGTACATTTAATCTACAGACAAAGGATATGTGTACGATATTCATTGATTATCGTATTCTCCAATTACTCCTTCACTTAGAAATGCGCTACAGTGACACGCTCGTGAAGAGATTTAAAAATAGCAGTAAGATTTTGAACATTAATGTTTTTTATGAGTAACAAATCTAATTTTTTATAAATTCTGTTATTCTACATACTTATAATTGTCATATCTTTTTATACAAGTTTATATATAAAATCAATTTTATCTAAAATCTTTAAAATAATTTTTTTCAATATTTAAATAGATATTTAAAAGAATAAATTAAAAGTTTGCCATACATATAATAATTATTTTTGAAATACTAATTATATAAAAACTTCAAATATTTTTTATTCATATTTTACAAAACAATTGTTATAATCAATAACTTGTTGAGTTAAAATTATTTTTCATTTTAAGATATGTTTATCTTCAGATAAATTTGAAAAATAATCAAAAACTTATTTTGCGAAAATAAAATTCAAAGAGTAGTAGCTTGAAAATAATTAATTTAGAATATTAAATTCAAATTGAATATTTGAATGTTAAATTTTGAATATTAAAAATATTCATTTGAATATTAAAATGGAAAGGGCAACTAATTATATGCAACATAGTTTTTTTGAGTAATTATATAAATGTTGGATTACTTTTTAAATTAAATTCACGAACAATAAAATTGAGATAAAATAATAAATTATAGTAATAATTAATATTTAATTATACTATATATATCCAAAAGAGATTTTTTATGATTAGGATACTAACATTTTGAATATACAGAATTTTGAATATACATATATAATATTATCGAAAATTTGCGTAGATAGATAAATAAAAACGCAATGTGTGTATGTATGTGAAGAATTTATCAACAAAATACAATTTAAATTAATTTTTATTGTAACGGCGTGGCCGTTACTAACGCCTCGCGGGCCGATCACCCGCCCGCCACTTGAGGCTATGGCGCCTAAAGCGCCCCTAAACACAAAAACATAAGCGATACACGGGTCACCCTACCCCAGGGGCGCCCCACTACAACCCCCAGAGGCGCCCCACTACGACGCCGGCGTTATCCCCACCACAGTCTCGATGTAGAGTGGGGGAACCGCCGGCAGGGTATATAAGCCGGCTCGACGGATGAGCCGGCACCAGTCCTGTTCCGGACCTCCTAGCCAGGCAACGGGCTTCTCGTTGTTACGCCGGGTTTCCCGGTTTCTGGCCTCCTACCTTTAGTATCGGGCAACGGGTTTCTCGTTGTTACGCCGGGTTTCCCGGTTTCCGGTCTCTTCCTGCTACACGCCGGGCAACGGGTTTCTCGTTGTTACGCCGGGTTTCCCGGTTTCCGGTCTCTTCCTGCTACACGCCGGGCAACGGGTTTCTCGTTGTTACGCCGGGTTTCCCGGTTTCCGGTCTCTTCCTGCTACACGCCGGGCAACGGGTTTCTCGTTGTTACGCCGGGTTTCCCGGTTTCCGGTCTCTTCCTGCTACACGCCGGGCAACGGGTTTCTCGTTGTTACGCCGGGTTTCCCGGTTTCCCGTCTCTTCCTGCTATACACCGGGTGACGGGTTTCTCGTCATTACGCCGGGTTTCCCGGTTTCCGGTTTCTTCCTGCTATAAGCTATACGCCTCCGTACACCATATCTCTAAGTTATACCGGGTAATTTGTAAATCTTTTCCGGACACCGCTACAGGCTACACGCCTCCGCATTTTGTTTATACCGGGTAGTCAATAAGTTTCTCTATTTAAGGCTTTATGCCAACAAACATTTTGTTTATACCGAGTAGTCAATAAGTTTTTCTATTTAAGGCTTTATGCCAACAAACATTTTGTTTATACCGAGTAGTCAATAAGTTTCTCTATTTAGGCTTTATGCCAACAAACATTTTGTTTATTTGTTTCTTTTTGAATAAACCAAAGCATTGTTAATAAGGAATAAGCGAGTCTGAATCTCCCCCTTCCTCCCGAATCCTGGAACCGGCGAGCCGATCCGCGGCGTCGGGAAAGGTGAACCGTTACATTATTTCTATATGAAATTTTTGCAAAAACGATTTTTCCTCAGCGAAAATGATGAAAAAGATCATCATTTTTTTAATGTTCCCAATTTTTGAAATCATGTATCTATGTAATTAGCCTTAAATCAAAATTCTATTACAGTAAACTTTATCTGAAATTAACTAAAAAATGTAGTTTTGTTAATAATTTATTTTTACAAGGCTTAGTTTACAAAAAAGCTTTTATTTTCAATCATTTATAACTCAAAAATTATACTTTATAATTATGCACAGTGTTGGAGTGTCGGCAGAACTCCGCTGGCACTACAGACGACGTTGGCACGATGACCGCGAGGCTTTCGGAAGGTTGCGACTCGAGCCATCAAAACATTTTATTTTGGTGCTCGGTACACGCCGCTTTCGATTGCCTTATATGGTCATTTTTCGATGATGTTTACGAGAACTACGGTCCCCTTTCCCTCGCGATCGGGTGGATCGAGGAGCTCGAAGCGAGGGAGGGGGGCTTTTCTCGAAATTCCTTTTCGCGACCAAAAGGGCCAGTCTGATACTGGCACGACGAGCGGTACCATGCGCGTCAATTATCGAGACAACGAGAAATATATCTTTGTACTTTCTTTTTTTGTAATTTGTGTTTTCTGTGTCAGTTAACGACGGCACAGATTCGCGTGCCGTGAATAAAGACAAGTGACGTGTAAAGCATTCTTTTGAATCTCCACCCTCTAATCCGCGCAATCCACCGGCCGTCCTCCAACCGGCGAAAATTTGCACGGCGAGTCGCCAACATTTTTGGTCCTTCGAGCCGGATCGCGAGGGTGAGACGAAACTCTAAGACCTTTTCAGTGAATAACCGCTCGTTTAGTGCATCGTGCCTATAGTGCCGCGTACCGTGCCGCGCACCCTGCCGTGCCTATAGTGCCGCGTACCGTGCCGCGCACCCTGCCGCGCCTATAGTGCCGCGTGCCGTGCCGCGCACCCTGCCGCGCCTATAGTGCCGCGTACCGTGCCGCGCACCCTGCCGCGCCCACAGTGCCGTGTACCGCACCCCGCACTTACCGGCTCTACGACCTCGGGCCACGATCAGCTGTGCGCGTCTTCTCTCTCTTTCTCGTTCTTTCTCTCTCTAATTCACGCGGTCCATCGCGCTTCGTAACGCGCTTGTCAATCTTGCCATCTCTTTTTTTTGTAACGCTCTGCGATGGATCTCGCAATTAAAAAACAGATGAATACTGCCGGATATATTGAGCGCTTCTGGGACAATTTAATTAAAGTCGGCAAGGACAAAATGACACGCACGTATCTCACCACGCGCCTTGAGTTGCTCGAGTCATATTGGACGCGCTTCCTGGATGCGCACGATGCCATCCTCTCTTTCGAGAAAATAGACTCTTCGGATTATATGCGGCAGGACGTTTACGCGGTGACCGAGGATAATTACGTAGCCACGAAGTCGCGTATCACTTCCTTTATGCCGACGACGAGATCCGCGGACGGGCAAAGTGCCGCAAGTTCAGTGTTGCGCCAGATCCAGCTGCCGAAGATAAGCTTGCCGAGGTTTGACGGCGATCAGCTAGCCTGGGAAGGCTTCCGAGACCTCTTCAAGTCGCTGGTCCATGACGTGGAGGGACTCACTCCCTCGCAGAAGCTGCAGTATCTGAAGGCCAGCCTAAGCGGGGACGCGGAGGCCGCCGTCGCCAATATCGAAATCTCTTCCGACGGATACGCGCTGGCGTGGGATGAACTCGTGACGCGCTACGATAACCGGCGAGTCCTCTTGGCGACTCACATGCGCGTGCTACTCTCTGCCGCGCCGGTAACCAAGCCGTCATCAGCGGAAATCAACCGCCTGATTAGCGCGGTCAACCGGGCTTCGCGCTCCTTCAGGGCAATGGGCCGCCCAGTGGAGCACTGGGACGACTGGTTCGTCCATATTCTGGTCGAGAAGCTGGATCCCGCCACCAGGCTATTATGGGAAAGCCATCGATCGAGTCGGGACTTTCCTAATTTCGAGGAGCTCAAGGCGTTCCTCCTCACGCGGGCTCATGCGTTGGATGCCTCTAATCTGCGGACGCCGATGACTTCCAGCTCCGCTTCGAAACAGAAGCGTACGGGCCGCAAGGACGACGTCGCGTCTCACGCCATGGCCGCGAGTGACCACAAGGGCACGCCGTGCCCCCTGTGCAGGGAGCAACATCACATGCGCTCCTGCCCGAGATTCAAGACATACTCGACGGAGCAACGCCGCGAGCAAGTGCGCAAAAGGAAGGCCTGCTTCAACTGCTTGGGACAGGGTCACGCCGCCGGAGCTTGCCCTTCAATTCACCGCTGTCGCCACTGCCAGGAGAAGCATCATACGCTTCTGCACACAGAGCCGGAGACGACGCCACAACCTGCCGCTTGGGAAAAAACGGCATCAGACGACTCCGCCGACAAACTGAGTAACGTGGAGACGTCCAAGGTCTCCGCCTTGACCAGCTCTATCTCCACCACAGTGCTCCTCGCGACCGCGGTTATTCGAGTGTTTGGTGAATCGGGCCGATCGTTGACAGTGCGCGCTCTCCTGGACTCAGGATCGGAGGCGTCCTTCATCTCGGAACGCGTAGCCCAGCAGCTGAGACTACCCCGCCGACGAGTGAACGTGACGGTTTCCGGACTTCAGGGCGCGACGACCGGGCGAGTGACTCACGCAGTATCGATGGAGATCGGCACGGAGCGACCGCCAACAGTACGGATCACCCTGCCGAAGGCGCTGGTCCTGCCTCGGCTCACCGCCCTCACACCAGGGAAACACATTCCGAGAGGAGAATGGCCGCACCTGCGGGGCCTCATGCTTGCCGACCCGGCCTTCGACAAACCGGCGGCAGTCGACGCCGTCCTAGGCGCCGATATCTACGGCGTACTGCTCGACGGAGGAGTCAAGCGTGGACAGCCGGGGGAACCAGCCGCTCACTCTACCGTCTTCGGTTGGGTGCTGATGGGTTCCCTCATCGGACCCGCCGATCCTCTTCCAAGCCGAGTCGCCGTCCACCATACTACCACGCAGCCTGATCTTCACCAGGAACTCCGAAGGTTTTGGGAGCTCGAAGAGGTGGCCGCCCAGCCGATACTCACGCCAGAGGAGTCTCGTTGCGAGCGGCTGTTCGCTGAGACTCACACACGTGATGCTGAGGGAAGATACATCGTGCGGCTCCCTCGCAAGGAGCACCCGACGACGGCTCTTGGGTCTTCTCGCCACGGGGCCTTGCGAATGCTCCTCAGCACTGAGCGTCGTTTGACGCGCGATCCGTCGCTCAGGGAGCGATATCACGACTTCCTGACGACCTACGCCTCCTGCGGGCACATGGAACCGGCACCCCGCGGCGAGGCAATCGGCGAACCATACTACCTGCCGCACCATGCGGTGGTGAAGGCGTCAGACCCGGAAGGTAAAATCAGGGTCGTTTTCAACGCCTCCTTCCGGACCACCACGGGAGTCTCATTGAACGACGTGCTGATCCCGGGACCGAAGCTGCAGGCGGACCTATGGCTGGTCCTCACACGCTGGCGTCTACATCGATTCGCCTTCACGACGGACATCGTGAAGATGTTCAGACAGATCCGGGTGCATCCGCATGACCTTGACCTTCAGCGGATCTTATGGCGGGCGGATCCGGCGGCGTTGGTGCAAGACTACCGACTCACCACCGTCACCTATGGCACAGCCCCCGCGCCGTACCTGGCCATCAGAACCCTGCTACAGCTCGCGCAGGACGAGGGCCATCGATTCCCCCTGGGAGCAGCTGTACTCCGGGCCAACACCTACGTGGACGACATCCTCGCGGGAGCAAACTCGATGGAGGACGCGCTCGAACTCCAGCGGCAGACTGTGGCCCTCCTCGCTGCCGGCGGCTTTCAACTCAGCAAGTGGGCAGGTACTCACACCGCGTTGTGTCCGGCCGTGGGCAGAGCCGAACGACTCATCTCTGGAGTGGACAGCGTGGGTGCCCTAGGAGTTCTCTGGGTCCCGGCCAACGACGAGCTTCATCTTCGAGCAGTCCCCGCGCTGTCGAAGGTCGGGAATCCAACCAAGCGCACCATCCTCTCAGCTGTAGCCAAACTTTTTGACCCGGCGGGCTGGGCGGCTCCCGTGATCATAGGCGCCAAGATCCTCATCCAGGACTTGTGGATGGCCGGGTTGGATTGGGACCAAACCATCCCGCCTCCATTGCGCGAGCGGTGGTCGCGCATTCTGACTATGCTGCCAGACCTGGATCAGCTCAGCATTCCGCGGTGGACAGGGACCTCGAACGAGCGCCTCGTGGAGCTCCACGGCTTCTCCGATGCCTCGGAAAGAGCGTACGCCGCTGCGGTGTACATCCGGGGTGTTGACTCCAACGGCATCCTGGTCTCCAACCTTTTGGTCGCGAAAACCAAAGTGGCCCCTGTGAAGCCAGTTTCTATGCCGCGACTGGAGCTGTGCGGTGCCCTGTTGACAGCACGCCTACTCCGGAACACCAGCGCTGGCCTAGGGGTGCCTCTCTCGCACCTATACGCCTGGACGGACGCCAAGGTCGTGTTGGCATGGCTGCGGGCTCATCCTTCCCGCTGGAAGCCATTCGTCGCCCATCGGGTTGCTGCGCTCCAAGAGACGGTGCCAGCCGAGCGCTGGCATTACGTCCCCACTTCAGAAAACCCGGCGGACGCTGCCACGCGAGGATTGACCCCGATCGAGCTGTCGCAACTTCGCTTGTGGTGGAAAGGACCGGGCTGGCTGGAACGACCCAAGGACACCTGGCCGGCGGACCGGGGTCAAGACATGGAGCTGTCAGAGGAGTGCCGAGCGCACGCGACAGCTACCGACGGAGGCGAGGGAGCGGTCAATGACCTTTTGTTACGCTTCTCCTCCCTTACCCGGTTGGTACGCATCACCGCATTCTGCCGTAGGTTACTTCACCGCGGGGCCCGACCGAGAACGACTCACCTGACCACCGCCGAACTGAACGACTGCAGGCTCAGTTGGCTGCGGATTGCGCAGGGACAGGACTTTGCGGGAGAGCTGGAGGCCCTCTCGCGCAATGCGCCCCTCCCGCGCCGATCACATCTCCTGGCGCTCAGACCCATCCTAGGACGGGATGGACTGATACGAGTCGGGGGGCGACTTGAACACTCGCCCCTGGCCTACAGCGAGAAGCACCCGATCATACTGGCCAAGGGCAATCACTTGGCACTGCTGCTGGTCCGAGAGGCGCATCTGCGCACTCTTCATGGCGGACATCAGTTGACTCGAAGCGTCCTGGCACGGACATACTGGATTATTCACGCCAGTTCGCTGATCCGCTCCGAGATTCACCGCTGCGTCCGATGCGCCCGCTTCAGAGGCGAAACGCTACAGCAGCAGATGGGTCAGCTCCCGGCTGATCGCGTCCGGACAGGACGTCCCTTCATATCCGCCGGCGTGGACTACGCAGGCCCTATCCAGCTACGAGCCTCGAAGGGTCGAGGTCAAAAATCCTTCAAAGGATACATCTGTTTATTCGTATGCCTGTCCACGAAAGCCGTGCATTTGGAGGCCGTATCAGACCTCACCACGGAAGCATTTCTGGCGGCATTCCGGCGCTTCGTTGCACGGCGAGGCCACTGCGCACGTCTGGTCAGCGACCACGGAACCAACTTCCGAGGCGCCGATAGGGAGCTCCGCAAGATGTTTCGAGCAGCAGCGGAATTCGGCCAGGAGTGTCAAGCCCTCCTCGCCACCGATGGGGTCGAGTGGAACTTCATTCCCCCCGCGGCTCCGCACTTCGGGGGGCTATGGGAGGCAGGTGTCAAATCGACCAAGCACCACCTACGAAGAGTACTGGGGGACCAGCTTCTCACCTACGAGGAACTCTCGACGCTGCTCTGCCAGATCGAAGCCTGCCTCAACTCGAGGCCACTCTACCCACTGAGCGCGGATCCGACGGATTTTGCGGCGCTCAACCTTTTAATCGGGGAAGCTCCGATTAACGTGCCAGAGCCAACCACCTTGGATCCGCCGAATCAGGTACAAACGCGATGGCGACTTCTAACTAACATGCGTGACCATTTTTGGTACAGGTGGTCCCGAGAATATCTGCAGCACCTTCAGCAGCTGGGCAAATGGAGGGACTGCAAGGCCAACCTCCAGCCAGGGACCTTGGTTCTGCTGAAGGACGAGCTGCGGCCGCCATCAAAGTGGGCCCTTGGGCGAGTTCACGCGGTGCATCCAGGGGTCGACGGCCTAGTTCGCGTTGTCAGCATCGACACGGCCACCTCCCGGCTCACGCGGCCGATCACGAAGATCTGCACCTCTAATCCACAGGACCCCTGGGCCTCGAGCGAGCGTCGTACGGCGGGCGGCGAGGGTTTCTATTTCGTCCCCTGGACGAGGCGGGCGGAATGTTGGAGTGTCGGCAGAACTCCGCTGGCACTACAGACGACGTTGGCACGATGACCGCGAGGCTTCGGAGGTTGCGACTCGAGCCATCAAAACATTTTATTTTGGTGCTCGGTACACGCCGCTTTCGATTGCCTTATATGGTCATTTTTCGATGATGTTTACGAGAACTACGGTCCCCTTTCCCTCGCGATCGGGTGGATCGAGGAGCTCGAAGCGAGGGAGGGGGGCTTTTCTCGAAATTCCTTTTCGCGACCAAAAGGGCCAGTCTGATACTGGCACGACGAGCGGTACCATGCGCGTCAATTATCGAGACAACGAGAAATATATCTTTGTACTTTCTTTTTTTGTAATTTGTGTTTTCTGTGTCAGTTAACGACGGCACAGATTCGCGTGCCGTGAATAAAGACAAGTGACGTGTAAAGCATTCTTTTGAATCTCCACCCTCTAATCCGCGCAATCCACCGGCCGTCCTCCAACCGGCGAAAATCTGCACGGCGAGTCGCCAACACACAGTATGCATTTAATATATTTTTTAGCTTACATTTATGTTGATATTTATTTATATTTTTTTTATTAGACACAGCAGATGAGGCTTTTCACGATCCATTGCGGTATCAGAAATTCCCATTGCCTGGTAGAAAGCCTTTGAACATATTCGTCGCGGGCCTGGTAGAACCCGGAAAGAGCGAGCTTTTGGTATCATTCATGGAGGTGCTAACAGAAGATCTTTCGGAAGAGATGGTGCCAGAGGCAAAAGGTTTGTGTTAATTATAAAATTGATCTACGCGCCTTTAAGGCTGCGATATTTGAATAATCAAAATTTTGAGCTAGTCGCATTACGCCGCAATTTAAATCTTTTTGTGTGTGGGTGGGAGGGCTGAGTCGACGTCTGCTCAAAATAAAAATATTAAAACTAGAAATATTAAATCAGTCTTTGTGGCAGAATTAAGAGCTTTTTACGAGCTTCCTAACTGATATAGTTTCGATTTTGAGGCTCAACTCTTTAATTCCCAAACGAGTTTTTAAATGATGAGAGAAATTGTTTTTGCGCAATGATATTTATGACTGGTTTTTGTAGGTTCTAATAAATTTCCCACTTATTAGTAATCTGTTTAATGAGCGCAAAATGACTGTTAATATAGATAATTGCAAATTCTTTTAGGCGTTAATACGCATACTTAATAGATTGCACAATTTTTATTCGATTTTTCTATTTCAATATTTAACGTTGATATATTATTTAATTTAGTCGAGATTTTCACAATTTTCTTATACTTATTTTCTATACTTTCCGATCTATGGTTTTTAATATGGTTTTTAATTAAAAAATATCCTAATTATTATTTCTTTCAAGCAAATATTTCTTGTCTTACTTAAATATAGGGATAATTATCATTAAATCAGCATAGATCTCTCTATGACTGTCTTGGTCACATGCGGACGATTTACTTGATTTTGCTGCTGATTTTGAATATTTTCCTTGTCGGGTTACTCTTAATTTTGTTTCTCGAAGGATTTTATTCAAAACGGTGTACTTATCATACAATTTCCCCGATGCACATTTTTTTCCTCCTTTTCCTGATGGCACGTAATAGGTATTCTCCTGTTCTCCGGGAAAGGCTTCTACGATAAGTTGAGCTAATGTGGTGAATCGTTCATTAGAAATTTGTGTATTGGTGTCAATCCTATATTCATTTTCAATAACTTCATCTACTAAAATTGCTTTATAAATTGCCAAAATTAATTTATATATGTAATAGGTATAAAGTCTTTTACGATATACATATATATATATATATATATATATATATATATCGTAAAAGACTTTATACCTATTACATATATAAATTAATTTTGGCAATTTATAAAGCAATACAATATAGATATATCGTAGATATACGATATAGATATATATATATATATATATATATATATATATACCCATATTAATTTTCTTATTTTTGGGCATAAAATCACTTCCCGATGAGCGATTAGAACACTTTATAAACTAAGTATATATATATATATATAGTGTTTTTTAACGCATTTCGAGAAAACTTTAGTTTTTACTATAATAATCATAGTAAACTTACTGCCATATTTGTCTAATAAATCAATTATACATTATGACTCATTTTAATTCTATATTAATTCTATATTAATAAAATTTCCTTTATGACTCATTTTAATTCTATATTAATAAAATTCGAAAATATAATTTTTTATAGGGTATAATTGTCAAACATTATAGTAAACTTACTGCCATATTTGTCTAATAAATCAATTATACATTATGACTCATTTTAATTCTATATTAATTCTATATTAATAAAATTTCCTTTATGACTCATTTTAATTCTATATTAATGAAATTCGAAAATATAATTTTTTATAGGGTATAATTGTCAAACATTATATGTAGTATGTAATACAATTATAAATGAATTTTTATAATTAACTTGATCAAGTAATTTAGCGTATTTTTATATCATTATACATTATTAGATTAATAATATTACTTTTATTAAATTATTTTTCAGTTCGTTTTCTTGCCAAAGCTCAATCTCTGGTAAGCGCAATTTATGGTTTTATTTTAGTGATGAATCTGCATTTAGATTCAATACATCAAATATAATATGTCAACGATATTTATTGATTATCGTATTCCTCAATTATTACAAAAGTTTAAAGTTATACGCTGTAGTTATTCACTGTAGTGAAGCACTCGTGGAGAGATTTACAAATAGCAGTAAAATTTTTTACAATAATTTCTTTTTTATAAGTGACAAATCTTTGATTTTTTATAAATTCTGTTCCTTTCTTATATTTATAATCTTACAAAATAATATATTTCAGTAATTTGATGAAATAGTTTTTTTAGTGTAAAACATATAATATCATAACGAACACAATAATTATATTTTTGATAGGTTTTTTGATGACAGATTGATTTATGACGCGGTTGTTTTTCTTTGAAAAACATAAAAACGATATAACTATTTGTTGTGAATTTCAATATCGTTCGATCTAGAATATTCTGGAATATTCTATTCGCGTATAATATTTTATTATGCGTATAATATTCTATTATGCGTTTTGAACATTTCCGCCCGCCTTGTCGCGAAGTGACAACATGGTGAATTTCGGCCGCGGAATCGCAAGTCGATAGCGATCGATGGTGGGGTAGACGCGCGCCGGCGCGGCGAGATACACGTGATGATCGCGTGAAACGTGAAACGATCAGCTGAGTCGATCTGAGACGATGAAAACACGTGGTGATGTGAAATGGCAAGTGTGTAGTGCAGCGCGCGGCGATAATAAAATAATTGTGAGTGCGGTGGTGGATGAGACGAATGAGATGCGACAAATATTACGGTGGATGATGTGATGATTGTGTAGTGAGTGATCGAGTGCAGTGTTCGGGGTGATCGAGAAATGTTTACGTGCCGGCGAACGGCGTGTCCGCGTTATTTACGCTCGGAATGCGATCCGCGCCCGGAAGCATAACGAGCTTGACGAGCGGGCGCACGAGTTCGGAAGTGGCGGTGCGGATTGAGATCACGCGGACGCTTTCCTTGTCGCAAGTTATTGGATGATGGTTAGGTATATCATATAGGTTTAATTAATTTTCAAAAAATCCTCGCCTTTTACATAGGCCCCCATTAAAATTTGCTTAGGGCCGCATATTAGGTTAATCCGGCACTAATTGTTATGTACCTTGGGAATAACCTTAAGAATCTATTTATATAAAATTTATGTATTTCATATATCATCCCGCAAATGGCCATAAAGAGTGTCGCTTGTTGACGTCGTCAGTTCTTGTCTGTCTTTTAAGGGGTTATCTCTAGTTAGAAAAGTCAAAAAAATCAATTTTTAGAGATTTTTGCATATTCTAAAAGTATGCCATCTCAAAAATGTTTTCTGAAAGTTTCATATTAATCAAACGAAAATTGACAAAGTTATGCGAGTTTGAACGTAGGGACCGCTCCAAGAGCAGGTAGCGCGCGGCAGCAAGCAGCGCGTAGCAGCGGCGCGCTCAAGATAGGTCCTTTTTATTGTTTTGCCTGGGTTTATATTCACAATAAACAGGTTACTACACGTCTAGACGAGTTTCTGCTTGTATTCAAACGGCCAACGAGCTCAGTTTGGCAGTTGGCTTTAAGCTGAGCAGATCAACTTACTTCGATTTTGCTGTAATTTTCGCGTGTTTTTCACGATGAATCCGAATGAAAAACTCGGACAAAATAAAAGAGAACTGCTAGGAGGAGCGCGCAAATCAAGGTCAAAGAAGAGGAAACAATCTTTCAACCCTAAGACAGCGGAGACAAACGAAGCAAGTTTTAGTGCATCTAAAAAAAATCGAGATGCAGAAAAAAATCGTGGTGCCGGAAGATAATTCTATAGAATATAGAATTATCAATTTTATTTCTGTATTTTCGGCTATCGCAATGCTTGTGAAGTGCAAAAAATGCAACAGTGACATAAAGTTTCAGACAGCCAGTACTCGGGGACTAGGATTTAAAATTGCTGTTTTATGTAATCAGTGTCCGCCACAGGAATTCCTTCGTGCGCTTTTATAAATCACTCTTACGAAATTAATAGACGTTTTATATTTACGATGAGAGTTCTTGGTTTGGGACTAAAAGGTGCTCAAAAGTTTTGTGGACTCATGGACATGCCGAAGTTTTTCTATTACACCACCTATGATATCATTATCAAGTACATTCATTCGTGCGTCAAAACTGTTCGTGATGTGCTTTTTGAAAACGCTGTTAAAGAAGAAATGGAGCAAACCGTTGGACAAGATAAAACTAACTGTTTCAGGGGACGGAACGTGGAAAAAGCGAGGTTTCACATCTCTGTTTGGTGTCTCTTCTATAATTAGTTATCATAGCGGTAAAGTGCTCGATGTCGTGGTAAAAAGTGCTTATTGTAAAATGTGCGAATTTTGGGATAAAAAACAAGATACTTTTGAATATGAAGAATGGCTCGAAAATCATAAAGCCGAATGCAGGTCGAATCACGTGGGATCATCCGGTAAAATGGAGGTCGAGGCAATTGTTGAAATGTTCAAGCGTTCTGAAACTCTGCACGGTGTCAAGTACGAGAACTACATTGGAGACGGTGATTCAAAAACATACTCCAGTATTTTAAATGCCGCGCCTTATGAAGACATTACTGTAAATAAAAAAGAATGCATCGGTCACGTCCAAAAAAAAATGGGCACGCGATTACGTGAGTGTAAAAAGAAAAATAAAGGGCTCGGCGGCAAAGGCAAACTAACCGGTAAAATGATCGATAAGTTAACGGTTTACTATGGTCTAGCTATACGTAGAAATTATGACTCAGCAGAAAATATGAAAATAGCTATTTGGGCTACATATAATCACTACAGTTCAACAAACGAAAATCCGAAACATGATCTCTGCCCGGCGGGAGCGGAATCGTGGTGCGAATGGCAGCGCGCGTACGCAGAGTTACCAAACAATCAGAAGCAAAAAATAAAGTTTTATACACACCTACGACGCTTTGCCGACTGATGTTTAAACAGCTATCGAGCCAATTTACAAGGACTTGAGTAAACAAGAGTTATTAGACCGATGTGTTGGTGGATTTACGCAAAATAACAAAAGTTATAATCAACTAATTTGGAAAATCAGTCCAAAAATTCTTCCAGGCGGCTTAATACCAATCAAAATAGCTGCATATGTGTCAGCTTGTGTTTTTAATGAAGGCTCAAAAGCTTTGTTACAAATAATGCAAGCGATGGGAGTTTCTACTGGCCCAAATGCCCATGCATTCGTGGCAGACGAAGACGAGGGACGCGTCGCTATTGCCGAGCGCCACGCACAAGAAAATACACAAGAGGCCAGAAAGCATCGTAGACAAAAGAAAATTGATGCTTTGGAGGTGGCTTCGGCAGCAGAAGGCTTACTTTATGAGCCTGGAATCGATGATTCTGTGTAAGTTAAAAAAATTAAATTATACTCTACTGATAACTAGACCGCAAACTTTAAACGCGTTTTTCTCGAAATTACATTTTTCTAAAAAGTCCCGTGCGGTGTCCACAATATCTCGAGAACCGTTAAAGCAATTGACCTAAACCTTTTTCGTACTTATTCTGTGTATCTAGGGCTTGTTCGTGAACGAAGGGTTTTTTTTAATGAAAACTTTTTTTTTATTGAAGAAAAACGAAAAATTACGTTTTTCGTTAAAACGGCCGCCATTTTGTCAAAAATTATTTTTTCAAAAATTCCTTCGTTTACGAACAAGATATATTCATATACTAACAGAATCTTTTTGGTTTTTTGATTTCAGATAATCCAGATTCGAGCAGCAGTGGACACCGCAAAACCAGTTTTTTTAAAGGGCCTTCAGGAGAATGGCCGTATCTTTTTTAATTATTAATATTTTTTATTTAAAAAATTATGTTACATTCATAAAAATATATTCTCTCACATAGACCAACTCAATTTTAAACAAGTCTTATAGTTAATGCAAAAAAATTCTCAAAAATCACCTATTTTTCGGCTTCCTGACTAGACTGAGATAACCCCTTAAAGAGGTTACATCACAAGCGATACACTCTCAGCTAAGGTGATTCGGCTCGTGATTCTGCAAACAGATAAAACAATGTGTCAAATACAAGAATGTAGATATTTCTATTAAATATAATAATATAAAAATAAGTAAAGATTTCACTCTATCAGAGTTCTCAGTTTGTTTGAGATGTTAAGTAAAATTTTTGTAAATTCTAGAATTTTCCATCCGCGTCAATAATAAAAGTCACGGTCTTTTTTGTATGTTTGTCACGGAAAAAAGCTGTCATAAATTAAACCTGTCATCTCAAAAACATTCTTTGCACACAAACAATTAGCGGTTTCGCAACCGTTTTTACCGGATACTTTTCGCGCTACAAGCATGCGCAAAATTGCCACGCGGCCTCGATCACCAATTAGAAATAACGAGCGGCCGTGCGCGCATGGCAAAACGCGAGTTCGTTGGGCATCTTAGAAAAGCGGCCAATAATGAGCTGTGCCCTCGAGTCACCTCGAGCACAATTTAAATTGCTCGCAATAATTGGCGCTTTCCGAAAAAGTGGGTTTTCTTCGGAAACCCATAAGAGAGAGCTCGCGCCCGAAATCCGCGCCTTATCGCTTTCCGCAGTGACCGCATAACGCAAACCGCATATTATTTTGATCCGCTAAAATCTCGTTGACGACCGCCGCTTATTCCGCACTTTGTTCTCGATTACATTGTCACTGAAATATTTAAATGTTATAAGTCTTGTTCAAGTATTTTGTAATTAAGTGTGTATTGAAATTAAACTTTTTTTTAATACAAAAGAAAGGGTGACTTATCCTATTGTGTCGCGCGATCCTCTCTCACGCAGCGCGTTCGCGAACACAGTTTCTAAAAGATATTTTATCTCAATGAAACAAAGTTCCTATTTGGCAATTTTACAATATTAGTTAAATCAGAGCTCGGCAAGAAATGCACATTTCGCCCAATTTTCAATTGACTCCGCCCAGCGCTCTTCCCTTACCTCGACGTCCCGCGCGCAGCCTACGAGCCGCGCGAGACTCAGGACCGTGTCACCTCGCGACTCGCGACCGTATCGTGTCACCGGACCTCGCATACATATTTTTAATAGCTTTCCACATCACCCAGGGGGTACTATATTATCGACGCGTTTTTTTTTAAGTGGTTTCCCCGTTAGGCCTAATCCACTGATTACTGAGACGACCTTTTAATAGCTTTAATTAATTTAAAAGAAGCAGAATTTTAAATATTAAGTGAAATAAAAAATACTCACATTCAGATTCACGACTTTCGGGCTTTTTTACAAGCGACAGCAGGAACGTCGATCTGCATATTGCACGTAGCAAGACGCATAAGACGCGGTAAAGAATTGTCGCTTAAACAAAAACGTTTTTCATTTTTAATAAACTTCATTTTCGAGAAAGAAGTCTCACATAAATATGTGGATCCGAACATAGAATAAATTCGGAGTCCGAAATCTTGAAGCTTGGAGTAGGTTGATTTTGATAAAACGTTATAAAATTCTGCACCGGTTTCTTGAACCGTTTTCAGAGAAATATCATTTTGTAGGTCACATAATTCATCCCGTAAATTAATCTGCTGTTCTGCGATTGGCGCTGTAAGAGGATTCTCGAAAAGAATTAATTCTGTTCGAAGTTTTTCGAAGCAGGTGAAACGCGTATCGAATTCTTCTATAACAGAATCTACGAAATGAATATTTTCTTTGAAATTACAGCTACTGCCGTGTTCTTCGAAAAGAATCTGGCAAGAAGGAAAATAATGAAAAATGTTGTTATTTAAATCAGATTTAAATAACTGTAATTTGCTTCGGAAAGAATCAACATGACTAACTAATTGGGAAATATTTTGAGTTGGTTTTTGCAGCTTTAAATTAAGAAGCCTAAGTTGATTAGTCATGTCAGTAATGAAGGCAAGTTCGGAAAGAAATGTTATATTTTCTAAAAGAGATATATATTCCTAAAATTTTGGATTGTTAGCTTAAAATTTAAATGATTTTTCGCACGCATATACGTTGAAAACAATCCGCGGCAGGCGCAGCAGCAACCGTCGCGTGGGCGATCGTCAATTGTTTTCAACGTATATGCATGCTAAAAATCATTTGAGCTCTCTACGTCGTAGTGGGTACATCAGCGGATAGAGTTGCGGACGTTTGCGATTAAAAAAAAGGTATTGTTCTTCTTTTAACAAATCAATCTTAAGGATGGATCACAAAAGATATGTTCAAGAATTTGATCAGTCTTGGGAAGTTAATTATTTCTTCGGTTACATTTCCGATCGAACGGTTTGTTTACTTTGCGGTTTTGAACCTTCGGTAGTAAAAAAATTTGCAATAGAGAGGCATTTCAGAAATCGTCATGCAGTCGATTATTCGAATTACTCACATTCAGAAAAGTTAAGTGTTATCGAAGGATTAAAGTCCTGTACGTATTTCTCTTTATGCTTGGATGAGAGCACCGATATTCGACATATGAGCCAACTGAGTATTTTTATTCGAATCGTGCAAGACGATTTCTCATATGTCGAGGAGCTGTTAGATTTCGTCTCATTACATGACACAACAACTGGTCTTGATATTTTTTTAGCAGTTGATGACTCGCTTAAAAAATTTGACATAGACTTCAGTAAATGTTCTTCGGTTACAACCGATGGCGCAAAAGCTATGACAGGTTCGAAGATAGGATTCGCCGGTCAATTAAAGCAGCGAAACATTAACATCCCTATTATTCACTGCATAATTCATCAGGAAGCACTAAGTGGCAAAGTTATTAAACTGTCAACAGCTATGGAGACTGTAACTAAAATCATAAATATAATTAAAGGTGGACAGAACTTCCTTAGTCATCGGAAATTTCAATCATTTCTCCATGAACATAATGCTATCCACACAGATGTCCCACTTCATTGTCCAGTACGTTGGCTTAGTGCTGCAAAATGTTTGGAAATATTTTTTTCAATAAGAAAAGAGATCCTCCTTTTCATTCAAGAAAAAAACAATCCAAAATTTCAGGAATATATATCTCTTTTAGAAAATATAACATTTCTTTCCGAACTTGCCTTCATTACTGACATGACTAATCAACTTAGGCTTCTTAATTTAAAGCTGCAAAAACCAACTCAAAATATTTCCCAATTAGTTAGTCATGTTGATTCTTTCCGAAGCAAATTACAGTTATTTAAATCTGATTTAAATAACAACATTTTTCATTATTTTCCTTCTTGCCAGATTCTTTTCGAAGAACACGGCAGTAGCTGTAATTTCAAAGAAAATATTCATTTCGTAGATTCTGTTATAGAAGAATTCGATACGCGTTTCACCTGCTTCGAAAAACTTCGAACAGAATTAATTCTTTTCGAGAATCCTCTTACAGCGCCAATCGCAGAACAGCAGATTAATTTACGGGATGAATTATGTGACCTACAAAATGATATTTCTCTGAAAACGGTTCAAGAAACCGGTGCAGAATTTTATAACGTTTTATCAAAATCAACCTACCCCAAGCTTCGAGATTTCGGACTCCGAATTTATTCTATGTTCGGATCCACATATTTATGTGAGACTTCTTTCTCGAAAATGAAGTTTATTAAAAATGAAAAACGTTCTTGTTTAAGCGACAATTCTTTACCGCGTCTTATGCGTCTTGCTACGTGCAATATGCAGATCGACGTTCCTGCTGTCGCTTGTAAAAAAGCCCGAAAGTCGTGAATCTGAATGTGAGTATTTTTTATTTCACTTAATATTTAAAATTCTGCTTTTTTTAAATTAATTAAAGCTATTAAAAGGTCGTCTCAGTAATCAGTGGATTAGGCCTAATGGGGAAACCACTTAAAAAAAAACGCGTCGATAATATAGTACCCCCTGGGTGATGTGAAAAGCTATTAAAAATATGTATGCGAGGTCCGGTGACACGATACGGTCGCGAGTCGCGAGGTGACACGGTCCTGAGTCTCGCGCGGCTCGTAGGCTGCGCGCGGGACATCGAGGTAAGGGAAGAGCGCTGGGCGGAGTCAATTGAAAATCGGGCGAAATGTGCATTTCTTGCCGAGCTCTGAGTTTAATCATAGTTTATTTTACATTCAATTTTACTCGAGTCCCTATTATTTACATATATTATTGTGTCATCCGCAAATAATTTACATGAACAATATCTTAACTATTTACAATATCATTTATATACGAAATAAATAGCAGTGGTCCTAGCACGGATCCCTGAGGAACTCCGTAAATTGTATTTTTTATCATCGATATAGTACTTCCTAGCTTAACTTGTTGTTTTCTATTAGTTAGATACGTCACAAACCATTTATACGCTGTACCTGCCACTCCATATTTATCTAACTTTCTTAATAACAATTTTTTATTAACTGTTTCAAACGCTCTTTTAAAATCTAAAAATACCACTTCTATCATTTCGCTATTATCCATATTTTCTCTCCGATTCGATAAACGTGCTTTGTAATGTCGTTTCGCATAAGAATTTTTCCCTAAAGCCTGATCTTTATATTTTATTTATATTTTTTGCATTTATATATACATATATATATATATATATATGAATTATCTTTCTTTTTTTTAAACATATTAAATAGTTGATACTAAACCGTACATGATGAACTGAAGTGCGACGTAAGCGCACAGCTTGCAACGTTGTCAAATATAATTCCTTAAAAGTCGCCATTAAAAACATTTACGTTTCGACCCCAACTTAGATCCTCTTCAGACTTTAACGCAAATATAATGCAACAAAAATATTAATTGTAACTTCGCATTTATAATCCTCTTATTAGTATTTATCCAACTCTTGAGAAAATCCGTGTAGAACGTTCCAAATTGGATAGAAATATTTCGGAAAAAGGAAGTACCCATTTTTATAACGTCGAAGCTCCATTAGAAAGGGTGCAAATGGATATCCTTGGTCCTCTTCGGTTGACTAAGTCAGGGAATAAGTATCTTCTTGTAATGGTAGATTGTTTCACAAAATGGGTGGAAGATTTCCCTGTCAAAAATATTAGAGCCAAGACTGTGGCTGAAATTTTTGTGAGTCAGTTTGTTTCAAGGCATGGAGTGCCTATTGAAATTCACAGATCAGGGAAAGAATTTCGAGTCTCAGTTATTTGGAGAATTAATGCGACTTCTTGAAATAAAAAAAACAAGGACTACTGCTCTTCATCCTCAATCAGATGGCCAGGTGGAACGTCAACATCACACAATTATCAATTACTTGGCGAAATACATTTCTGAAAATCAGAAACATTGGGATGAATAGATTCCTATGTTTCTCTTGGCATATAGATCGCCAAACATGAGACTACAAGAGTGACTCCTGCCGAGTTGTACTTCGCTCGAGAACTTAGGCTACCAGTAAACTTGTTACAAGAAAATCCTAAATTTGATGAAGAGAAATTGCCTTCAGAGAATTTTGTGGATAATTTAAAGGAAAAATTAGAAGAAATTCGTTCTTGTGTTAGGGAACGTATGGCTTTAAAGTCTTCGCAAATGAAAGCCAGATATGATAGGAAAGTTAGAACAATTCATTTCGAGGAGAGAGAGAGTCTGGCTATATAATTCCAAGAGAAGTAAAGGAAAGGTCCAGAAATTGCAGAATAATTGCATGTTTTAGGAATAATTTGCGTGACTAATGTTTGACTCACTGAATACTAGTGTGGCAAAGATATCATACTACCACTACTGGCTAAATATCTGAAATATTAAAAATTATTATCAATTTCCTCAGTTGCTATAACTACATAGATATAAGAGATAAATTAACTTACCATATTACCTTAAACATATTATTAATCGCTGTTTTGTCTCAATTAGCTTACGAACATATTGCCGGGTTATTCTAGGTGCAATTATTTGCAATAACTCTTCGCATTGAGTAACGATCATCCTGATGCATTTTCTTTTTTCCTTTGTGTATCTGTAGTACTAGAATGTATTGATTGTTTATTATATCTCTTTAAATTATGTATATCAATAATTTTTTGCCCGATCTCATTATTTTTAAAATAATCTTTGTTTTCACTATCTGATGTTAAAATAATATCATTAGTAGATGTATTGAATTCAATCTTGCATTTATCTGAAATACAAATATAAATTAATGAAATAAAAGTAAAAATTTATAAAATAGAAGTAAAAATGAAAAATATCTTCAATAAATAATGTATTAAAAATGATATATATCTTTACAAAAATTAAGATAGCATGTTTTTTTTTAATTTATTTTACAGATCAATATAGTGGACATAATATTATTATTAATATGATTAATAATAAATACCTTGTGAATCAATATTTTTTTGTCGCTCTCATCACTTATAAGATCTTCATTATTGTTTGTGGGGTCTAACGTATCTATTGTAAATTTTCATTTGTAGATACTATGTCAAATGTAAGTTCACGCTTTCTGAAATAAATAGAAGTTAATAAAATAAAAATAAAAAAACAAGAAGCAATAAGAATAAAAAACATTAATATTAGAAAATATTCAATAATATATTGCAAAAATATTCAGAGGTGACATTAAATT